TTGCTTTTACACTTCAGCCTTCTTTTATTTCTCTTTGTCCCTCTGCTTTCTCTGGAGCTCTTGTAATGAGCAGCATAAATGCATTTTATCAAAATCAGCTACCACTTTGAAGGACTCCACGTGAAAATTAATTACTCTGTGATTAAAAATGCTTGTATGGGAAATGTCTTCCTTACGGATTCACTGTCTGAGACAGAAGATAGTCGCCTTTTTCCTTTCTGCAGCCCACTTGTCTCAGAAGACTGGCTGGTCACGGTGGATCGTCTGGAGGAGGGATACCTGCTGAAAGACCGGGAGTCTTTAGGAGAAACTCTCAGCAGGGATCCCAGGCAAGGAACGTATGTTGCAATGGCTGTTCTAGTGGATGAGAAGTAGAACAGGTCAAGTTTTCTTCATTAGCACAAAAATCTAGTCACCATAATCTAGTCACCATAATCTAGTCACCATCTAGACCAAAAGTCTAGTCACCAAACAATGCATTTATTTGGAGGGGTGGACTAATGCTGAATGGACTGAAGAGTTACCAGGTGCAATAAAGAGTTTTCCAGACATCCAATAGCTCATGTACAATTACCTTGCAAGATCACTTATTCAGATTTTTCTGTGGAATTGAAATTTAATGCTTTGAAGGGATAAGGACATCAAAATAAAACTCTTGTAATGGAAGGGAGCTATTGAAATAATGTTTTATCTGGTTTCAGCTTAATCAGGGCAAATAGAAAATTCTGTCCCTTTGAACAGAACCTCGCAGAAGTACCACATAATGAATTATTTTAATCTTCCCCTAAGCAGCTATCCTAGCTTCCTCTTGCAAATCTCTCCGCCTGGTATCTGTACAGTTGTACAAAATGGGCAGAGTTGTATTACAGTATTCATTTCGTCATATGCAGTGCAAGGAAACTCTTTTGCCCTCCCTCCTAGCCTCCCCCACTTACAAGACTATGCTCGTCTCTTTTCTACCCAGTTCCCCAGTAGGTCTTTGTAAAGGGTGAAACAATACTGTATGTATGGCTTTGCTGCCATCCTTAGATCCCGCAGCCTGCATCTGAACTTGATGTCCTAATGACCTTAGATTTTGCAACTGAAATATGGAAAGTTGAAGAAAGGTAAGGAAGACACACAAAATGGGAAAGTTGGATTCTTTTACTTAACGACATCTCTCACAGGCCTGGTTAACTCAACAAACTGCTCTTTGCAACACTGACAAATGTCGTCATCTCCTGTGGAGATATTAACAAACTTTTTATGGTGCTTTGGTTTGAGCTGGGGAGGGTTTCTGTCTTTTATCAAGTGATCAGTAAGTACAGATCAGCATTCTCTAGCTCCCATCTGCACAGTAATTCGTTCCGAGTACAAACTCCACTGACATTTATATGGCATTGAGAAGTTTTCTTGGGGAGGGAGAGGCTAACTTGCAGAAGTAAAATGAGCAGGTGAAGCAGAGTTCAGGTACTGGTCTCATAGACGACAAAGTTATGGTCTGATTATCTCTGCTGTGTTAAATTCAGCTAATAACAGTGAACTTACCTGTACTTGGGGTGACCGATGGCGTAAATGATGGGGTTGTGGATGGCAGAAGCTTTGGCAATCACAGCTGGTATGGAGTTCATGAAGGGTGTGATGACGTGGGCATACCTAAAGTAATGCAAATGCAATATGCATAAATTTCTGGTAGTGAATTCTAGGTAGTCTGCGCACAGCTCTATCCTGAAGAGACAATACTTTATTGCTGCTCCAAAGAAAGTAGAAGAGGGGATTCTGTACCAAAACAGCAAGTGGGCAAATTTTACGTACTTGGCCTGCAGAAATCAGCCCCAGCCTAATTGCAGTTACGGGAAACGTGATTTTCTGTGTGTTTCTCTTGGGCACTGCAGTGCTTCTCTACTAGGACTCAAGATGGTGGTAAGCCCCACGTTGTTTTCACTAGCTGTAAACAATGTGGGACAGTTAGTCTGCAATAAATGAATTCGTGTTCATCAGAGTATCTGTTCCAAACTCAGCAGATGAACCTGCTGAATCAGGGGAAGCTGCAGTAATGTGGAATGTAATGGGTATGCAGAATGAGGCAGGACCAGGAAAGATAATTCCATAATAAATATATAAATAAATTCAGACTATTCAGTCTGTTCAGACTTTTCTTTTTTGCCTGACCTAAAACTGAAAGGAGGTATCCTCAGGTGTCAGATGTTAGGCTCAGGTATTACTGTGACCCTGCATATATACAGGTCATGTGCCTCTAAAGGATACAGTAGTTATGACTAATTTTTATCTGTCATACTGCTATCAGCCAGTAAATGTGAAGATAGCCTGAAGTAACTCCTATAGTTGTGGTCAGAAGAAAGTCGGTCAAACAGCTCAGACCAAAGTAACGCAGACAGCTTGCATCAGGGAAATTCATCTTGCTGAAATGGAGTTTCAAGACCCTGAGATGAGAGGGATGGTGCTTTGGCGAGACTGCTGGAGAATTCAGCTAACCGAAATAAACAGTGACAAAGGCTTTTGTTTAAGCTAACCACTCTCAGAAAATACATCTTTTACAGAGCCTGGACAACAACAGTGTTACTGAGCGTGACTAGGGTAGATCAATATTCTCCTTCCAAAGCATTTTCTAAAGGAATTAAGTTTCTTCATCGCCGTGTATGTTACTCCGTCAGAGGAGCTGTTTTTAGTCCAAGACTGTAGCCAAAGACTCCATGTCTGACTCCTGTTTGTAGCATGCAATGATTTCATCAGAGTTCATTGTAATAAAAGTTAACGTAGGACCTCCACGCTTCGTGTATTCATCTCTGAAAAATTCCCATAGGGTTGCCCAAAAGGCATAGCTCAGAAATAGAAAAAAAGCTGCATGGACCTGTATTGCTCACCAGAGGTCTTCACGAGCAAAATTTGCAAACGCTCATTTGTCAGATACTATATAAAGTTGGCCATTTGTTCAAGCAGTTGTCAGTGTAAGACATGGGCGAGAAGTCCAAGTTCATCAGGCACTTGATCTTCCTGAAGTAGATACTGAATCATACAGGACAGTCTGACGGTTCTGCCTGGCTACAATGCTTAGTTGAAAGCAACTTCCAATTTGTTGAGGTATCTTAGAGTAAGCGGTGCTGCAAGGTAGCTCTTCTGTGCTTCTTTGTCTTCTTGGTCTTCCTCCATCTCTAGCTGGTCACCCGTCACCAGTGCTGGGTGTCCAGTACCTAAGTCTCCCTGTGATGGGAGACTGACGACACTGGATTGATTGCACTGGAAACATCCTAGGGATTGAACTTTCTCAGAGAGGTACCCATTTACCTTCACGGATAAAATGTTTTCTGCTGCTTGGAATTGCCCCTCTGAATGCAATAGGAGGGAATCCTCTTCTCTTAGACAATATTTTTTTCTTCTTAAGGGAAAGATTTTAGAATTTAGGAAGCTGCCTTTCCATGCCCTGGCCTCTTTCTTAGGTGTATGACAACAATCACCATCCTCCATCCGTCAAAAAATGCACCCATCATACGCAAATTTATCTTGTGTGTCAAGCTTAAGAAGACGTACTTTTTATTTCTGACTAGAAAATGACAGAGAAGTGTTTTGTGCTCACATAGGAGTCTTCCGCTTGAGTATTTCAGAATCTTTGTGATTGACAAGATGTTCTAAAGCAGATAGTGAGGTCCGTTTTAGAAATGCTGAATTGAAGAACAGGATGATTAGGAGACTTGTTCAGTGTCATATGTTAACTTGGCAGAAATGCATCCTGACTTCCAATCCTTTGCTTGTACCTGTGCTAACAGTAATGTGGTATCAGGCTATGTACATGCACACGCATTATCATGTTTCTGTTGAAAGCACTGTATAAAATGCTGACAATTAAACAGACAAAGGACATGCTGGGACGATTGATATTGAAGATCTTTAGATCCAGCACCAAAAAACTCCCCAATGCAAATATGTACTGTCTAATTTTGATGTTGCTTATATGTGCAAGAAATTTCAGCAGTTTGATGTAATACAAGAAAATAAATTGACTTGTATAAATAGAAGAAATGGAGAAATAAAAGAAAATCAGGCCCATGGGTGGAGGGTGGGGGGTTCCCCCCTTATGTTTCCATTTTAGAGTGCTAAATACAGTTCAAGTTGTTCAAATACCCTAGCATAGAGAATCTACCTTCAGAATTCATCAGCACAGTTTCTTATGTTACCAGTAATAACCTTCCTGTTTCCTTCTTCGTTTTTTGTTTGAAAAGTCAAACTAAGGAAAAAATGTTAGTCAGCATGTGCCTCATTTGTTAAATGTCACTCCTGAATATGTGTATATTCTGAATGCGCTTCAGGCATTGGAGTTGACAGGTAGCATTGACTTTTATCCATTGAACCTTTTACATCAATTTCACATCTTTTGCTTTCATTAAATATTTCTTTGCTGATACATTCATAATTACCCGGCAAAAGCTACCAGAGCAACGACAGAGTATGGTGACCAGGAAATGATATAAAGCAAGATGACAATCAGTGCAATTTTGGCCATCTTCCACTCATTTTTTATCCTCTGATACTGTTTCTGGAACTCTCTGTTTCCACGTTTGCATCCAAATGTCTGAACAGATCTAGGAGAAATAAACATATTACAGCAAAAAGGGAGGTAGGGTTGACCAAATAACTTCATAACATGGGGAAACAATTACTCTCACACTAGTACATGCTAAAAGTTGTACGATTTTGATGTATGTTAACTGTATATGACCAGTTCCTCACAATGAAAATGCACTTTTGTTGCACTAATGCAAAATTCCTGTTTGCTTCACTGGAGAAAGTAGTCCTGTACCAAAAGTATTTCCAGATAAATCAAGTGTTTGAGCTCACTGAATGGTACTAAAGTAAATATACTGGTAGAAGCCTTTGCTTCCCTAGGTCAGATTTTGGGTTCGTCACTCTCGCTGTGTAATTCCTAGATATGCGACTAGGTATGCTGAAGCGTATGGGACAGATTACAGATACTGTGGCAGTCACTGGCCTTAATTTTTAAACCAGTATTTTTTATTGCAGACACCTGTGATTAAATTTTTTACCTTCCTTTAGCCCTTTGTCAAACATGGAATTCGCAGTTCAATTCCGTCTATTTTTCTGTGGAATAGTTGTGGATACACTGTTATTAGGTATCTCTGATGTCTCTTGGGTATTTCTTTTCCGAGTTGGTTAATTTGCATAATCTTGCCCCATCTCGACTTCTCGGGCTCCTGTTCCTGTCCTTTCCTGAATCGTTAGTGAACGTATTGAGCAGCTGTGGCTTAAAATCACAACCATGAATAGCCCTTCTAAGGATCATACTTGTTACCATATTAGTTATTGACAGAATTCTTATTTTATTTCCTTTCTCAGTAATAGATACAAATTCAATGCGAAGAACTTTCTGATTTTCTTTTGTTAGTTTTTGTTGAAAAAAGTAAGCAGTCACTTAAACTAAAGAATGAAAACCTTTGACAAGCAGCCTGACTGTTGGCTACTTACTTGTTGGCCTTCTTGATAGCCTCAAAGATAAATATATAACTGTATATGATAGCAATCAAAGGAACGAGAAAGACAAAGCAGAAAAGCAGCATTGTATAGGCACGGACTGATGGGGTGAAAGTTATGTAGTCCCAGGAACAGGAAGTCAGCAGACCCTCAGGAACATAAGCACCTGGAAAGAAAGACAGGAGAAGGGAAAAGCCATGAGGTAATGCTTTTTTTGCATATTCTGAGTGCAGGACTTAGAGAAAGATACTCAGAATAACGGGGGACTTGGTCCTATTCTCATAGGGAGAAACAGAGCTTAAAAGGATACACAGCTCTTCTTTTAAACCACCTCTTTTTATTTTCTCTTACTCTATTGCCATATTGTATTTAACTGAATCATCCTGTTTCAGTTCTGGAATATGATTTAAAGCTCAACGTAGTCAAAAGGCATCTCCAAAGCTTCAGTGCATCTCGGATCAGACCTGTGTTGCTTTCAGATATCTCCATTTCCTTTCAAATTGCTGTCTTCCCCAGGAGTGAAATGAAACTGGTTGCAGTAGCTACCTTTTTTTTTTTCCCCCCAGGTTCTGCAGATTAGAGAAATTTACTGCGCAAAGAAGAGAGATTTATTGTGGGGATCAAATTAATTTTGTCATGAAATAAAGTCGAGTACACGTAAAAGAAAAATCACACATTCATAAGCATCTACCTGAAATATATTCTCCTTAGAGAAACTGTGTCACGCTGTTAAGTAAAGCGATTGTCAACAGCAATGTATTTTTAGCTTTATATTTTAATTTTCACTCTTTACACTGATATTTTCTGTTGGACTAACTCTTTAAAGTCCAGTACCAGATTTTCTTGTTATGCATCTAATAGTTTTGTGAGAGTTAGTACTGCAGATACTATTAGAGTCTAGTTATAAGATAAACTTAATAGTCTTAAAGTAATTATGCTGTGTTCTCACATTAAAATTCTAGCATCTAAAACTGTATGCCATAATTCTCTTCTTAAATCTCCTAATTAAATTAAAGGCTGCTTCTCCAAGTACCGCAGTTTGCCTAAGGATGCTATGTGTTTAAGGGGAGCCAGAATTACAATAACAAAACAATAAGAGAAAAATCTACTGACATTCCACTCAGCAGCTGAGTTTGTTGCAACATCCTTTACGAAAATAAAAAAATTGGTATTTTCTCACCTCAGTTGAACTCCTGCTCATTCTATTTTGAAATCAGGGAACACAATAATGGGCTGGGCTTTTAACTGACAAGTTCATTCTAACTTAGTGACTGAAAACTGGTGACTCATAGAAAACAAATTAATAGTACTGAGGCAGATTCAGATGTAGAAGAATAACAGAAACTCTGTGTTATAGGTGGCGAGGATCAAGATGCTATATGTGTGCTCCAATTTCCATGCATAAAATTTGCATTTACAAAAGCAAATTAGTTACCGAGTTATTACTAAATGCTATCCTTACTGGAAGCCTTAGTGAAGACCCCAGTGGCTACATGGATGAGACCAACTCCTAGTGCAATTTGCCCTTCTAGAATACAGTCAAGATAAAGTGAAGACGTACTTGCACAAAACACCCAGACTGTATTCCTCTGTTATAGGAATAAAGACATTCGGATTGCCAGCACTCTCTTACACAGCACCTTTGGGGAGGAAAAAGTCATCAGAAAAAAATGCAAATTTATCAATTTCATCTTTACTTTATATTGTTCAGTTTGGCTCAACAGAAGTAGGTATGGGATAATAGGCAAGCCCATTTTTCATAAATTTTTGGCCTTGATTTTATCTGCTGTTCTTTTTGTCTTAAGTAATGAGTTCAAGGAAAAGTGCCGGTGTCATGTAATTGACCGTGATATACACACTGTTTCTTTCCTTCAGGAGCCTTGGTCTCAATACATATCTAGCAATCTTCCTCAATTTGATTTCTTCAAGCCTAACATGCAAGCCATCAAGTCACTTTTCTCCTACACCTGTAACAGACGAATCTTTAATCTATCATTTCCCTGTGCTATGAGGCAAGCAAACTTTTATTCCATTTCACTTACTCCATCCAAAGAAGGGTGGGAGGCTCCAAGCCAAAGAGTACAGCCAGACTCCTACCAGGATTATTAGGGCCTTCTTCTTAGACATCACTCCAATAGAAGCCAGAGGTCTTGTGATGACAAAATATCTGTCCAGGGCAATCACCGTCAACGTGATCATAGATGTAATGCCAAAAAGAGCTCCGCAGAAGGCATACAGCTCACAGCCTTTCAATGAAGATGACAGAGGTAGCAGTGAAATTAATCCACCCATGCTAATTAAGAAACCGTTTCTGGGAGAATTCAAGTCTGTGTTCGCTATGAACTAGTGTTTTCTGGAATTCTTAAAGCAATGGAACTTTGTTTTCCAGCACTTGTAATTCTATTTCAAAGCTACTATCTGTCTTGCTAATTACATAATCCATGGAGATAAACTTTAAAGATTTTGTTTGCTCATATTGCCGGAGACAATAATACTTAAGATATTTTCATTCATTGGCTTCTAATGTTTCTAGCAGGGACATTTCAGCAGTCCCATGGTGTCTTGTTTAATTCCAGTTTTACTGCAGCGTCCCTAGAAACAGCTATTTTGCTTAACAGTTTGCTTAACAAATAGCTACTTTGATACCGTAGAATCATTTATATCTAAAGGTCAGCATAACTGGAGTAAGTATTCAGACTATAAATATACTCATGAGTCTAATTTTAATAATTCAAACAACATAATACTTAGAAGCATCTTTTTTTTAATGTGTGCGATTAGACACTTCATGGAATGCAAAAAAATATGCTTTTGTTCATCAGTGATCAAAATAGTGCTTTTTGGTCGTCCGTGATCTCTGACCTTCCTCTCTATCCATACCTGGTCAAGAGGCAAAGACTAGAAAGCATCTTTACTCTGCAGGCTTTTTTTTTTTTTTTTTTTACACAGTATTGAGCATGGCTCCATAGGACTGTCTGATTTGCATGTATATCTCATATGCCAAAGGTGAAAATCCCACTCTTTTGAAGTCTGCAGCAGTTTTGCTATTGACTTAAGTCACGCTAAGATTTCAGCTGGGGTCTGAGACTCTCCTGCAGGTGGGTAGCCTTCTACCTGCCAGATCAAGGAGTGGGGTTTAGATTCTGGAGAGTCAGGAATGAGAGAAGGATGATTCAGCAAAGTTTAATTGACATGCATTATAATCACTGCACATCTAAACGGTGACAAAAGTAGCAGATGTGGATTAAAGCCCAACAACAAGAAGGAGCAGCTTTGAAGATTTGTTACACGTTTTTTAAGAGACAGCTGAAAGTTGATAACCATCTCTCCCCTGTGGTTGAATACCTTCAAATTATCTTTCCTCTGATACTGGCTGTTTAGATTGTAAATGGGTTTGGTCAGGGAACAGGGTTTTTATCTAAAGGCTGAGGAATCTTTTGGTCAGACGTTCTAGTTACTGTTGTCATACAACAAAGAGCAGATATCTTCTATAAATTGTAAATTATCCCTAACTCTCACAAGAACATTTGCTGAACACACAGAAAATGTTCAGTTAATATTTTTGTTGTGAAAACTCACTTCTGTGAGGCTTTCTGGTGAAATTCTTTGAGCAAGTTACCTAGAGCAGCTATTAAGTTGGTGTATGGGGAGCTGACACTCATTTGTTGTAAAACTCTGCTGGTAACTAAATTATGAGATTACTGGGAAAGACTGCGGGCAATATGGGACTAGTCCAGTGTCTCACATTGCCAGGGTCTCCTTTTTATCTCATGAATGTAATTTTCCTCTCTGTAGTGGGAATGTATTTATTGCCCCCACACAAAAATAGTTCAAAGAAAGTTCTCAAGGTTGCAAAAATGAAGTACCTGAGGATTAGGAAATAGTGGATGAATGTTGTTACCATAAGAACATGCTTAGTAATTTCTTAGAAACCGTATATACAAACCTTTTTCACCAAAAATCCAGCGTTTGTGGAGACTATTGGTGAAGAAAACCGGAGACTGTGTAATGGACATCAGGAGGTCACTAATAGCTAGGTTGATTATGAATATGTTGGCTGGTGTTTGAAGGCTCCTGCTCCTAGAAAGAAAAGATCAGAAGGGATGTTGCTAAACTCTATCGCCTAGTTAATTACGTTGTTACTCTGTGAGCTGTGGCAGCTTTACAGATACCGAGGCACACCATATAACAAGCTAGAGCTGAGTGCTTCTCATTTCCCTGATGAGAGAACGCAAGCAAGGCTCAGTTTTATACCCTTATACTTCTGTGTGTTTTAGAGGATTGTTTTGATAACCAGCTCGGTGATGGGGATAGACCACATTATTCTTTAAATATCCTGACCTAGTGCACTGCATGTCCATGACTAACAGGAAATTAAAGTTGATGTACTCCATGGATTTACTGGATCTGGGTCATGCTTAGCTGAGGGGGAGGGAAGGGAGCTTTTCCACTGCTGACAAGACCAGCAGTGAGTTCCAAATACAGGGATTAAGCAAACTCGCTGTATACCGCATGAAGCATTTTGTTTTATATTAATTCTTTTCCCCAGCACTCATTTTGCTGGAGCAGACACTGACTTTAAAAAGAGCAATAGCCATCCTTTAGTGCATCCTGCCTGCATACGTTATTCACAATGGTACAGCACAATGCTTTAAAGGGTACACGTACAAGCTCACCTGAGGGTTTTTCTATCTGGGGTTCAGTGTAGCTTTTTAGCTCCTTTCTCAAATTTTCAGTCTTAGACACAATTGAAAACTATCAAAATAAATTATGGGTTCTTTGCACTGATCCATAATCAATCATTAGGTCTACTGTCCCTTAACTGTCGATTTAGGAGCAAAGAGATAGTAGTAGTAGATGCTTAAGGAGGAGCTTATATTTGTTCATTAGTCTACGGAGTTACTGAAAGTAATTCTGTTTTAGGCAGCTGGCTGTCTCAGAGTTTTGCCATTATATAAGACACTTTTGGTATCATCGTTGCTTTGCTATCAGTATCCCTTCTTGTCCTCAAAACATCCTCAGATGAAAACAGACCATCCTCCTCTATGTCCTCTGTTGGAACTGCAACTGCTGCGACTAGATCTCCTGTATGGGACCAGCTGGAGAACTAATCTAGCTCATGTACCTTATCCTTCTCTCATATATCTAGTCTGCATGCCAGCACCCTTTCTGTTTTGAAAGCTGTGTCATTCATACCAAAGCACTGGGACTCACTCCGGATGCACACAGATTTCTGTTAAAACCATAACAGAAGATGTGAGGTTCCCTGGGAAAACTTGCCACTCTCTCACCCTTCGTAATTTAATGTTTAATTCACCAGATAAATACAGCCTCCAGACCCAGATTAGTTTGGCCCACACCCCAGTGATTTAAGCTAACGTAGTAAAAATGTTCATATAATTGTTATTATTTAGGTTCACTACACTAGTGCTTAAAGACCAATCACAAAGTAGGACCTCCCTGGCCTAGACATCATGTCAGTGATCTCTGCCCTAGTGAGACAGAACAGAAACCAGGTGAGTGACTAGAAATGGTATAAATATCACATTGTGGTCAGAGATCAGATTTCCTTTGGATGTAAAAGTTGGAATGTGGCTTTAGTTAGCAGGAAATAAAGCAAAGAGGTAGTAAATGGATGAAAGTTCATAGCCAGTAAGGGACAGAGGGGAACAGAGCAAAGGAGAAGTAAGTGACAGGAGGAAGGAAACAAGTAAGATAGAAAAGTCATGGGGAAGAGGCAGGAGCAAAATATCCCATCGGTCCAGTGCAGAACAGTTCAGCCAATAGTTGAAAGTGGACTGAATGTTTTCTGCTTTGGCTCCTTTTCTACTGCTTGGAGTATCTGGGTGGTTCTTCGCAGTTTTGCGAACAGACCATGGTTAATGGGAAGAAATAAGAGCAAAATGGCGGATTGCCACTTTTTTCCTAGAGAAATCTCTCTTAACTGTGATGGGGTTCTGCCCTGCGTTTGCAGAACACAGTGCTGTCAAAGACCATCCATGTGAGTACTGAAACAATATCGAAACAAAAGAGTTACCTGCAGAAAGCATAGATGACCAAGAAATTACCCAGAGTTCCTGTGATTCCCACTGTAAGAATGACTGCTCCAATTGTGTAATGGGCATGGGCTGGGACATCTACTGTAGGAAAGGCACGAGGAACGTCTTGTGCTGTCATCTTCTACAGAGTAAACAAGAATTCACAGGTATATTGTCAGACTTGACTGAATAAGTTGGCACATGCTTCTCTTCTAGAAGAGGAAATAGACAAGAATGGCAAAAGCCAGCAGGCAAAAAAGGTGAGAATAACCAGATTGCCGTCAAATTACATTTACTGTTGATCATCTGCTGAGAATAAATATGCCATCAGGAGTACAAAGGTCAAAGGGTATTTTAGATGTTTACTGTTGATTTAGCATTTTGGTGAAGAAAAGCAGTCTGTTTTCCCCAAACAAAGAAATAGAGGGATATATAAGGAAAAAAGAGACAGAGAGGGATCCTTTCTGTTGCATCTGACATCAAGTGATGCAGTGCTTACCAAGTAAATTTTCTGCAGTTTTCATTTCATGAAAATTTCTGTACCTGTGAAGCGTGATTTCTGTTGTCCTCTCACATCACCGACTAGACTTCTCAAATTAAGTAGAAATGATCGTCTATGGATAGACATGCACTTAATCCTTTAGTAATATGGCTATTTTGTTTCTCCCACTGAATATCACTAAGTTGCTAGTTGTCCTCAGGACTTAGTAATCAAAAGCCTGGCAGCATTAAACAAGTCTTACAAAGTAAATTAAAGGTTAGAAAAACTAAAACACAAACTTATAAAAACAGCTTATATCTGTTTTACATACAAATTCTGCTTTCACTCTGGACTGGGTGAATGCATTTTTCTCTCTGTGAAGTTTGTGGTAAAGCACTTGATGAAAGCATTTGTGTCTTACCTTTTAATGAGCTGTAATGACATTCTGATGTCTACCGCATTTTAAATAATAATACTTTAAAAACATTTTTTTGGTACGTGCCAGGAGCCACAAAGACTTTCTGAGCCAAGTGCCCCTGACTTAGTTATGAAGCAAACAAGAAGACTGCACCCCAGAAGCAGGATGACCTAACCGAAATGGAAGGGGACACAGGAACAGCTGTCCGAACTGTCACCATTCTGCTGCCTGTTGATATAAAGTAAGGCAAGGTGACTTAAACACTCACCTCTGTGTAGCTGCCACCATCCTACACGTGTCTTGGCATCAGCTGCGACCAGCTAATGTCATGAAAAATACCAAGCCCTGTGCTCATGCATCTGAACAGAGAGATCTTGCCTCTTCCTCATAGCTCGACTTTTCTCACCAGGGTGGCAGTGGCTGTGGAATGGCATGCCATCACCATTGCTCATAAAATAAACCTGCAGGAGGCAGCCATGGCGTTCCTCGCCTACTGAGCTGCAAGAATCACATCAGGGCTGAGCAAAGCCCTACAGACGTTCTGGATCGTTTGTAGCCTGCTTACTGTGAATACTGTCAACCTGACTTGTGGCCTGGGATCCAAGGAAACTGCCTATATCGAGGTCTGTGTCTGTACCAGGCTTAAATCGTGCTTTGCAGGTGGCTATGTTCTTTGCAGTCACCAGTACTGGCAGATGGTACTACAGCTATCATCTGCACCCATTCCTCGAAGAAGGAAGATTGCTGGTAGGAAAGGAGGAAAGTGCATAGAAGTAAAGTTTTCCCGTTACGCTACAGTTGTGTTAAAAGCTTCATCTTACCATCTGGCACTCACTGTTAGGGTGAAACTCAGAAATGCCTTCGATAACAGTCCACTTACCAAAGGACATAGATAGTATTTCAGACAACAGGGGTAGACATTTCTTCTGAGTAAATCTGTGAGATTGGGTTGAAGTAAACTTAAGAGACAGACAATATTTAAAACCAATGTTCCAGTAGCATGAGGTGGACCCCTGGAGTTTTGGAATTCTAGAAGAGATTATCTTTGCTTATGTCCTGAAGATGAGCCTGCAGCGATCCTCAATAAGAGCGCGTTCCTTGGGTTTCTACGTTAGCAGGGATGGAATGCCTGCCAAATCGTCTGATGTTAGAGAAGGAAAATGTAGCTGTGGCCATTATTATAACTGGAGCAAAATGTTGTTGTTGCGTTAGGGCTGATAGGCTAACTGAATGACAGAGCCATGAAATTTATTGTTCAGGTTCCTTTAGCAAGTTTAAGTTGGCTGCACATCATAAACATCAATGGGCATTTTGCCTCAGTAGAAATTGCTGTATTTAACCCACTGCCAGTAAAGTAACATAAAATCCCATGTTAATAGTAAGTGGAGTGAGAAAGTCTGAGTTAAAATTGTTTTAAAGAAATGAGATCGGTTGTTTTCTGGTTTTGGGGGTGGTTTTTTTTTTTTTTTTTCCTTAAACTTAGCCTGGTGGCTGGAACATTTTTTAACAGCTGCTCTACAGAGAGTTAATCACTATTATTAGTGGAATGGAGGTTTCTGATATTTTCACAGTATCCCTTTAGCTATCCATTTAATTAGAACTGGGTCAGGGTAACAGGAACGAAGCAACGAAAGGAGCTGCTTCTGGCTACAAAGAGCAGGTTAAAAATGGCTTTAATTTGAACTATATTTATGGAAGACTAAGAACAAAGAAAAATTAGACAAAAATAAACAGAAAAATCACAATAGAAGAAAAGGTTACTAAAAGGACAGTAGAGGAAAGGTACTTCAGGAATAAAACAAGTTCAGGGTCAGCAGAAATGTCAAGTTTTTCTTTTTTAAAAGTCAGTGTCAAGTTACTAAAAAAGTCATTTTGCAGTTTTTGTTGGAAATAATAGTCTCATTCAGAACTTCTTAAGTTGATAGAAAGGTGTTCATTGACTCAAAAGGTATCAGAACAGGTCCTAAGCACACCAGACACATCACTGAGTTGTGTTCATATAGCTTCCTCTCTAGAAGAGGAAAAACACATACCTCTCGAGTTCATCCCTATATCTTCTAAGGGACGGGTCCATCAAACAAAAGGAGGAGGAGAAAAAGAAAGTGCTTGAGGAAATCAGGTTAGCAGGATAATCAAGAAATCAATTCACAAAGCTTTTCTGTATTGAGTTCTCCAGCAGATTAGCCTTGTCTAGTCTCTGTCGTCTTTTGTTATCCCAAGGTATTAGCATTCGGTGGTGGAGCAGAATAAACACTCCGCTGTTGCAGTCCCTACCATAGCAGTTGTCTTCTGAGAATGTTCAGTCTGAGCAGCTCTGTAGGAACCTTTCAATTGCATTGATAACGTATAACATTGTTGCTTGGCATGTTCTTCTGTAGAGATTTTTTTCTGTATACAGCTCATAATGAAGGCAAGAAAAAAGAACAGGTGAAACCCACGCTTCGTTATTCCTCTTCCAAGTCATCTGACAACACAGTCTGTTTTGTGCAGCGTAGTTCACAACGTCACCAAATGCACAAAGAAACTGAACTGCAGACGGGAAGGTTGGACGTTTTCCTGGGGGTGGACAATGCACCACAGCTTTCCTGAGCCAACAAATAAGGACAACATGTATCTGAGGCTCTGGACCGCTGGGTGCCAGGACACCCACAGGCTTACTGTCTTGAGGTGGCTTAGACTGGTATTAATTCTCTAGAAACAATTCCTTTGCAAGCAACAACTTCCTGACAGTCAGTGTAAACATTGCACAACTCTCAAGCAACCAAACCAAATGGTCATGCAAGCTGTGGAGGGCATCAAGGAAGCAACTGAGAAGTAACACAATCCCTTCACGGTCAGTATTGAAGGGCAGCTTGGGAATGTCAGCTTCTAGGCATGGATGATGTTTTAGGTGTACTTAAAAGCAGGTTTTGCAGTATCGCTGGGTATATGTTAAAACTGGCCTCTTGCTAGGACTGTAAAATAATTTGTGATTTTAATATCTGATAGGCAAGCAGTTTTCATTTTTTTATTTATTTCCTTCATGGTGTTCCAGCATCTGGTGGATAGTTGTGTTTTGTTGAGGAGCTCAGGAGATGCCGCACTGATTGAGACCAGTAGTCTTGACAGAACGAACACTAGTCTACCTTTAAACATGACCAGGTGTTCTACAGAGCTGCAAAACTTGCTTAATGAGCAGCTGTGTGGGAATTTCCTTTTCACCATAGAGTCTTAGGGGTTGGTTGGGTACCCTAAAATTGGGGTTATTATCTCTTTGAAATGCTAATCTTAATGGAGGATATTTTTATTATCCGTATATACGTGTAATCCTTTTCTAAATCCTACTCTATTTTTTGCCTCAGTAGAGTCATTGACAATAAGTTAGGGAGGTTGCTCCATATTAGTGCATTTCCTTCCAGCAGGTTTAAGTGTGTCCTTGTGAAACACTAGAAAAAGAGGGAAACAGCTAGGTTTAATGCGTAGTCCGCCTTCTTAAAACGCTCACAATTCTGAGGAAGTTTGGAGAGCAACATAGGCTTGCTTCTACTAGAGAGACTGTAAAATGAGTAAATCTGGAATGGATGTCAGGCTGGAGCATAGATAGCACTGTGCTGGCAAGGAATGAAGAAAGAATGATATTTTCCTCCCTAAAGGAACGCTTGTTTATCACCTGAAACAAAACAGCTAGAACAGAACTGAGCATGTTTTAATTATTCAGTAAACTTGACTGAGACTTACAAACTTGATGTGCTTTTTAAGCAGGTAAGGGAAAAAGAAATTCTTGCTAGTTAGATAAATATCTCTAAATCCCTGCTGTTCTTTCTAGTCTTGTCTGTGGAGGTGGCAGCACAGTGTGGAACCTTGTTCCTTATTTATTATTTGCCACCACAGCTGGTTACAAGGCAGGCAGAATTATTCCTGGAAGGCTAATTCGAGGAGCCAGCCCACTTCTTTGAGAAGGAGGGTAGCACAGCTATGCTAACACTTGGTGCAAGAGCAGAGGAGGGGTAAGTGTCAATTAGGCTCAGGGAATGTCAACAAAAGGCAGAGCTTGTATTTCTCCGTGAAGCTTATCAAAACCCTGGACATGGCCCTGAGAGAGAGTTAAAAGGGTAAAGCAGTCCTGCAGGCTGGCACAAAAATCACTGATCACTAGATGATTTGCCCAGGTTAGACTTAAGTCTAGACCAGATATATAACCCAGGAATCCTTGATACCTGCATCTATTCTGTCTTGGGAACGTGTTTCTTATACACCTTTTCCTAAAGGCAGGGGTTTTAAAATAGTTATTTCAAAATAATTTGTAAAAAAAAAATAAGACCAAAGCAGCTCACCTTTGAATAAGTTCTAGCAGAAGGCATATCCTTTTTGAAAGTCCTAGTCCTCCACCTCATGACATGAGAAAAGTGTTGAAGTGAACATGTGAAGAATACAGTGCAACTATTACTAGGAAAAAAAATAGTCTGTTCTTTTTCAGATCAAGAAAAAAAATCCTACCATTTAATTACTCTTCTGGAGAGCTCAGTTACTATAGTCCTACTAATGGTAAGAGTGATGATGGCAGGAGCAGGGCTGTGCATGTAAATATTTATACTAAAAATAAATCATGTTTGATATAGCCCACTCCTCACATTATCCCAATGGCAAGAGGGTAAGGCAAGGTTTAATGTATATTTAAAAGGAAACAGTAAATCCTCATGAGATTGTTTTGGGATTTGAAAATAGCTCAGAGCTGCTTCTGACTAATCTGTGTGAGAATGAAGAGTTAGCAACAAAAAAGAGTAGGACAAGGGTATTTTTCAGCTACTTCTGCCTGGACACTAGATGGATTTGTATCTTATTTGGGGTGAAACAAGACAAGGGAAGGGAAATAGAGATTGCTTTGTCATTGCTCTCAGGGTTTCCATCTAGCTTTAAAGTTCTAGTCAGTGGTTTTGCAGAATGGCTATTTTAATGAAAATAGTGTGTGGTATATACTACCAATGTTGGTGTTAGGCTTTTTACATTACAACAAATCATATAGCCTAGAAACATTACCAGAGCAGAAATACTGGAATCTCCTAGGACTTCTGGATGCCAATTCTTATACTGCCTACCTACAAGAGGCCTCAGACAACTGATAACACTTATTTTTCTTCATAGTTCCTTGCTCTGATTTCTGAGCTTGCCTCTATAGACACTTTCTCTGTGATGACAGGCAGCACGAAGAGGAGTGTAATCCCACCTCAATTATGGTTTCAGCAGAGTGACGCCAACTGCTAAGCCCCAGTTTCCAGTAGGCAGCAGGGCTTTCCATGAATGTTTTTTGTCCTGTTGAGCAATTTGGATAGCAGATTTTGTATCCTGGCTTCCGGATTAAATCTCAACCACAAACGGCACATATTGCTTTCAGTCCTGAAACGCTCTTAAACAAATCTTTGTGTCAAATTAAAATGCAGGAGTTTGAAAAGACAATCACTAATCTAAGGAGTGGAAAAGACAGCTGATCTCTTTCAGCAGAATAAGGAAAAAATTTGTTTTGAATTTTCCGATGTGAATCACTCTGTCCCCAGAATCCTTTTCCATTTTGCTATGTGTTCTCTAGTCCCTCTTCTCACTCCCTGCTATGTTTTACTAGCCTCTTTCATTATGTTATCCATCTAATTTAGTTTGTAAGCGCCTTGACTCACGACACTTGTCTCTTTATTTGCATGTAGTACACTGTGCACATCCAGCTTTTATTTAAAAAAAAAAAAGACTATTTTTACTATGCAAATAATAAAATATTTACTGCTTCCCTATAAGTTAGCATAAAACATCCTATATGCATAAAGACTTCCGGAGTGTTTGAACCTTGCACACAGTTTTTGTAAGTGGCTACTGTATTATATGGGCCATGCCAAAAACATGTGGTGTGTCCGCACCAAAATTTTAAGTTGGGTTTCAGATTTTATGAATTTTAAATATTAGCCTGAGTCTTTTTTTTTATTCTTTTCTTTTAAAGATACTTCCATATAAATAACAGATGAACAAAATTTTGTAGTTCTAACAGTATACAGGGATACACCCCCAGGAAGAGGACTCGTAATTCTTTTGGCTTGGGCTTCTGGGGTGGAAGAATTTAGAATGCTTAAGAAAATTCCATCTTGAAGTTTTGGTACAACAGATTCACCTTCCCACTGCTAAGGAAATTTTCTTTCTAGTTAGTGTTTAAAAACTGAGAAAAGAGCTTTGGTAGAACTTACCTGGAAAAAACCTTCTGAAAAGCTCTCTTCCATAACTGCAAATAATGGCTCTTTAACATTTACATAAGCACGCCACTGCATTTATGGACTGCTACAAAAATGACAGGGATTTCTCCTCTTGAATAATCACACAGGAGAGCATCGTGTTTGAACTGCTAAAAAACTGTTTAACCCACAAGAACATGCTGTTTTGATAGTTTCCAACATATTCAGTGTACCTTGACATTAAACATTCCTCCCTCTCTTTTGTCTATGTAACACTGCTGACAAACACTGCTTCTACAATCCTTTCTGCAGCAAAGAAAGAGTTAAAGGAATAAAAAGAAAACATTTACGGGTTTTTGTGTGTTCATAATTGCATTGCAGCGTTAAATGTCTGCATGCACGTTAAATGTTCATTTAAAGTTCTTTAAACGCCAGCTTTGCCAGCATTTACTTGCTACAGGTTTCAGTCACAGAAAACACTTACTGTTGGGGCTCTAAGAGGCAGGTCCGCTCGTTTGTAGGCATTGGCTTCTGAGTCATTCCATGCATTGAGGGACTCCACAATTTTGGTGCAGCTGGGGTCCTCAGAGGAACAAGAGATCCCCCTTTGAATGGGCTGACTGTTCATGTGAAATCTAAGCAATAACAAAGAAAGAAAAGCTCTCCTCTGAGCTTAAATCAGCCCAGTTTCCTTTTTTTATGTGTCAAGCAGATTGTCAGATTCCCTTATCTGGAACCATGTGAGCTCCAGTGCAGAATTTCTCACTAGAGGCTCAGATTGCATCTCTCCATCTCCAGTTTAGCAAAGGGCGGCGGCAGCAGCTTCCATTTAAATACAAGAGCCTGCAGGGTCTGCACATGCCCAGTTGGACACTTGTTTGATCCAGATTCAGGCTTCAGTTTAATGACATTATAAAACTGATGCTCACTTTAAAATATTATCTTTTTTTGCCTTTGACAGATTTAAGTCTTAAGAATTTTAATGCTTTCACCACGTTATCCCTGTATGAAGAGAAAGAAGGTAAAAGATTGATTTCACTAGCTGTCTTAAGTGTTAGTCCTTGCTGTTCGTTTTCCTGGTATTGGTGAATTAGTTTTTTGTACTCTGTATTTAAAGAAGATGTTTCTGTACAGTTCTGCTGAAATTGCCTGAACTGAAATACATTCTGATACTTAACAATGTGCTTATATGCAGTTCTGTCATGCAGAATTTAGGTCACACTTAGCACTTGTGCACTTTGTTAAAATAAACAGGAAAAGTGGGAGTAAAACCTACTGACATCCATCTTTTTCTGCCCTTCAGTTTAAAAAAGAACACAAATATCTTGGGCAGAGAACTGAAATAACCACTTTTTCCAAGAGTTGCCTGCTTTCTTTTTCAGTTGTGTTTAGCAAGAGCAGACAGACATAAGCAGATTCTTACTGCTCCTCCTTTACATTGCTCCTTTACATTATAAATCCTCCTTTACATTGCTCTGTTCCCAGTTAAAGGTGCATTACTGTGGCAAAGAGAAGTTTAATTTAATTGCAATAGAGAAATAGGCAAAGAAAGTGGAAAAGCTGTTCACAGTGTTTAGGCCTTCCAGCCACTGGCCAAATGACCCTATGCGAGCTATTAGCTTCATTACAGTTGGTAATAAAAATAGATGGCGTGGACTGTTTCCAAAAGCCTTTGTGAGAAGATTCTAACAGGAACTGTATTCTCTCAGCTCTGCTCAGATTTCCCTTCTCATATACCTTTTGTTGAATTAGCACTTGCAGTACCTGACCTTAAATTAAGGGGAAAAGGCCTTTCTTTGCATGAACAGGAGGTATAGCATGGGTATGTGTGACCTGTGCCTCTATATCAAAGGCACTGTAGTGCTGCAAATTCCCTTTCCTCACAGCCCCTTGAGGAAGGTAGCGTTTGCCTTGCTTCACCAGGCCACTAAACGCTAACCAGAGGAGAGATTTCTGAGACGCTACAAGCTCTCAAACTGTGACATTTCAGAAATAATTATTAGCGGACTTTTTGTATTTTCCTTATTGCTGAGCGGCAGAGAGATTTCATTGAGCGTTCCTGCCTTGCAGCGTTATGGTAGACTCACCCAAGCTAGGTTTAAATTGGCTGTGGTATGTGGCAGAACTGAGCTCAGAGGTAGCTAATCACCTGAGGATTTCCAGCTGAGTCGCTCTGTGATTCTGTAGTCGTTCTCTTCCCCCTTATCTCCACATGTGACGTCATCCACATTAATATCAGGGTAAAGGTGGATATGACTTACTGGTATGCAGTTCAAAAGACAAGGATGTGAAGTCAGAATCTGTCATTACGTGTTCTTGCATGCATGGTTTGGCTGCTGCAGTAAGCATACGGCTTTGCATTCAATGAACACTGTAGATATGAGGCAGTAATTTGTGATGTTGGACATCTTGAGGGACAGGACCCTTTTGAAAGATAATACTACATTTTGCTACTATAAAGGTAGAATACATCTTTACAGAAAGCCACAGTATGAAACTAGCAGAAACTCCTAGTGTCTTTAAATAAGGCTCATCAAGGGAGCAGAGTAGGAAGTACATTTTAATGGTTGAAGTGGGAGGAAAGGAAAAGTGGGAGATCTCCTATTTGTGTGCACTTTATATCCATAGAAGTCACATCCTGCTCTTACCAAGCTGATGAGACATAAATTTCAAGGCATAGAATTTTCAAGGACAGGCATAAATACTAGATGGGAGATGTTCTTTGTATACCAATTTTGTTTTTGCTGAAATCCTCTTAGTTTTCTCCTGTATGTCTCAGTTTGGAGTAATGCCTAAACAATCTGTTTACATACAGTTTGTATATTAAGTTTGTGTTTCCCCTGGGTCACAGATTCCATTTTTCTTCTCATTTCCTCTCATCTTTACAGTAAGTCAATGCACTGAAAAATGTTATTTCCAGTTAGCCTGGAAGCATCCACTTCTTCAGCATTTCTGGGTGATAACGTATTTGGCAGGCAATATAACACTAACAAGCAGCAAGTGTAATCCTTTTTAAAGTAGATCAGACCTTACAGAAACTATGTGACTTCTTGCTTCATTAGATTTGGCTTTGTTGCACATGCCTCTCCAGACAGATGAATTTGATTAGCTTAGCAGTTGCTGAGAGGATATTATAAAAGAATATACAGTATAAAGGAAAGAGACTAAATCTTCTCCAGAGAGAGGGGGCTGCTACTCCCAAGTGGGCTATTGATTTGGTGTCCTTCCTTGCCTCTGGGACCTGCCTTTGTGAATGCTGAGCACTTGCAACTGCAGGTGAAATGATTTCTGAAAATTAGACCCTAAGACTAAGGTTCATCTTCAGGGGAAACGCTGTCATGTTAGACAGTTGTGTGATCTTCCGTTGTAGCCAATTGCTAGAGGTGATGCAGCTGACCTATTTTATATTGGTTACCTCAGCTTCCTTAGAAGAAGAATGATGTCCTAGAACTGCACAAGGTGTGAAGCCTGAGTAATCTCATTTGCTGTACCTGGAGTTTGGAAAGTAAAGCAAAGCGAGGACACATGTAGTAACAAGTCATTCATAAAACTTTTTTCTCCCAGATTTGCTTGTTTTACATGCAGTTTCAAACTAACAAACACTTTCAGACATGGTTGTCATCTAACTTCAATTAGGCATACCATGAGTAATTTCTGAAATTATTATAAACTTTTAGTTTAGTTTAGTTTAGTATTCGGTGTTCATGGATTTATTTTGCTCCATTTGACAGTGCCTGCATACACCATTATCTCATTTATCTCCTGTACTTTCACCTATAGTTTAACTTTCCAAACAATCTCTCTCCAAAAGTCTACAGGTTTAAGATAGAAAAAGCCTCTTTTATGGTCTTACAATGTATACAGAAAATTAGAACTATCTAGACATTGGCACTGCTAGGAAAAAAACTGAGCTCAGAAGTAGCAACATGCAGATTTGAACACTGGCTGGACTAATGGACTGTGTACCATTCTGTGCTGGAAGCTGAAAAAATCCTGTAGCAAATACCCTACCACAAAGAGTCATTTTGATAGGATCCTCTAACTTTCATGAACGTGATGTTTTTTCCCTTTTTGCTATTTGTAGGAGATCTGTCTCACAATTGCCTCAGTTCAGCAAACACAAAAAGGGATTGCTGAACTATAAAACTTCCTAGCTTACTCTCATCGCCCTTGTTTAAGAACCTACCAGTAAGCTTGATTTTGCAAATCATGAGTAAGTGCCTTAAAAGAACCAAGAACAGTTTTAACAGTCTGTCACAGTGTCATAAAGACAATGACCTCTTCTGAAGAGAAGCTCTGGAATGTTTGCCATGACAAGTCCCTAATTTTATAAGAACTGTTATATATAATTCTGTATATAAGCACAATATATGTATATATATATAGCAATAGGGTAGCTCCTGGCACATGATCCCATCCCCATTGTGAACAGAACATAGAAACAGAAAATTCAAAACAACTTCATTTTTCTTTCAGTACTTAAAAAATATGAGCTAAGTAGGAGGAAACAATGTATATTAAACCAGAGAAAACAATTAAAAATAATTGCTGAACAAAGATTGTTTTCAGTTAAGACTACTTCACTTGAGTCATCAGAATTTTAGCCTTATGGATCTAGAGGGAAATTTGCTCTTTAGCCTTCCTGTGTTTATTCTCCATGCTTATTCTCCACCAAAAAAAAAAAAAAAAGTTACCTGTGTTGTATCTCTAGGACGCTTTTAAGAAAAAAATTATTAGTTCATGACCCCAGGTATTTTCTAAAGCTATCCTGCTCATCCTAAATTTTGCAAACACTTCCTCCACAGCCTTATATGTGAAATCACACGAGAAGCCCGTCTGGCTTTACTGCACAGGTCTGCTTTACCCTCCAGAGTCCTTTCTTTAGAAATGAAAACCTGCAAGATTCATATCTCCAAATTCTATCAGTTTGAGATATGGTGAGGACATCCTTCCCAATTTTACAGTTGTGACTTTAAACTGCACCACTTCCTACAGATAGTTAGCGTCTGTTCCTAGCTTTTTATAAACTACAAGCGGAAGTAGCATAAAAATCATGGACTCTGCGGTCCTTCCATGAAGCAGAGAAAATTGCCTAACAAGACAAGGGAAAGATAATCCATGGGTAAAACCGAAAGATTAATTAAGGTCAAGATGAGCATTGGAGTTCTTTTGCAATGGAAAGTTTCCTTTTCTCCTCTGTCTGGGAGCTGTGTGGGATTAGGTTTTAGCTCATCTCCAGGAGTACAGAGCGGACTGAAAGAATGAGTAATCTGCTTCTTAGCAGATCAACAAATTACTGTTGCAGAGGGCCAGGAGAGTTGGAAGATCGGGGTTCTAGTCAGCCAGGCATTAATTCCCTGAGATGTATTTACAAAAGATCACCTAGGCTCCCCTAAACTCTCCTCATCCACGGTGAGGCTGAGGAGAGAGAAGTAGACCACTCAGTAATAGGCAAGGTGAGCATCTCTCACACTTCTTTGAGTGCAGACACAGTTCTGGGATCTGAGTTACCACAACTAGGAATGCCCAGAACACAGAAGGTGGATGTTTACAAGGCCTATTAATAAGTTATGTGATCTTTCCCCTACTGTGATGGGGAGGGTGATAGCGATACCCTTGTAAAACATTTTGAGGATAACAATGCTAACCTTGTAATTTAATTTTACTAATGGAATTTGAGATCATGGTATTAGAGGAATATCAAATTCCTTCTTGCTTTGTGGGACTGACCGTCATCTTCATTCCTTCAAAAGCCTTTGTACTGATTCCAGAAAAGGCTGCCC